CCCCCCCCCCCCCCCCCCCCCCCCCCCCCCCCCCCCCCCCCCCCACAACAGATTCTAAGTATTTGACATGATAATTTCCTAAAAATTAAAACTCTTGGATTAGAATGGATAGCTAGAACTTTGGAATTTCAAAAGAAACTACTTTCTGAAATATTCTTGCTCACCTTTCCACATGCGATTTAAGAAAAAGAGAAGAAAGATGAACCAAAAAACTGGAGGGCGCTCTCCCTTTTTAGGTTCTAGTCCCACATAGATCTGATATCAATTTGCTGCCAGTTTGTCCACTTTGTAGTCACAGCAGCATGCATTTGATTTTCAGTTTACTCAAACCTAATTGTCCTGGCCACGTACCATAGCTATGTATTTTATCTTGGGTTTGTTGCTAATGCTGAAGTAGCGAAATTTTATTTTTAACTTTGCTTTGAAAACTGAATTTCTGAATCCTGGGTATTATCAAGCCATATAACTGGCATGCACTCAGGCTCATGTCCCCATGGTCTGTAAACAGACTTGCTGGCTTTCAACTAGCTCGCTCAGGTAGCAAGAGCAGCAACAGCTGCTGAACCAAATTTTGCATAGTTTGCATAGTTTGCCTGAGTGTATGGATGGATATTCCAATGGCCATGGTGAGTTCATTGCTGTCATGGCAGAAAGAATCCCAAAACTGAGACCACCTGAGACATGTTTACACTAAATGGCAGTCAAAACAATTAAGTAACTTAATTGTTACCAAAATAAGACCACATGACATTGCTCTAGTTGTTTTGCAAGTAAACTGAAAATTCAACGTATACCAATAAGAATAGAAATACTTCATATTGCCTTTGTGCAATAAATATTTATTTTAAGGTTAAAAAAAATGGTACTAAAGATGGATATTATGTACTAAGACTTCTATCATAAAAAGAATAGAAATACAACGTTAGAGAAAAGAATTTATATCAGACTGATATTACAGAATTCTGCTCACTGCAGCATTTATCATTAATAGATGTTAAAACATCAGGTATTTGCAAAGGTAGTATGGCTCTGGGACTTCAAAAGAAAAAGCTTGTCTTTCTTAAGTGAGAATTCTCCAGTTAATGCCTCTGCCAGGCATATGTTAAGTAAACCTAGTTTAAAGAGGCGGGTGTATTTTTAATATAAATATAAACCACAGCATAATGTAATTCACATTAGAAACTACAGCAGTAATCGTTTTCTGTTTCTTTTAGCTCATTTGGCAGCCACAGGACAATGATTTGCTGGCACAAACTTACACAGACTCTGAACTGAATCAGCGCGGAGTATGTGAATTCTGTCGAGAAGTTTTCCCACCATCTCTAACATCTAAGGAAGATTTTCTTCGGCATCTGAATTCCCACTTTAAAGTACAGTCTTAATACACGAGAATTCAGTGGGTCACTGTTTTTGCATACACTTGTTTGTGTTTTTTTATTATTATTATTGAATAGATTTGTTAAGAATTTAAGAATTGAGACTTCCTGTAACAAGAACTAACTGAAGTTGTCAGATAAGCACATTTTTTTCATTGTTGTTTGACGAGGTAAAATGAAACTGCAAGTCAGTACTGTAATTCGCATTACTGCTTGTCATGCTTCAATATTGCCATTGGGATTGTGGTTAAATTTTTTTTTTTCCCAGTTAATGTTTGCCTGAATAGGCTCGAAGTCATGATTATATTTATCAGTACAGATTTGCAGGATTAAGTCTTTAATCTGGAATAGAAATTGGTGTACTGCTAGGATTTCTTCTCAATATCCAGTGATATGATTCTCTAATTGAAGGGAATGTGAAGGAGAGGTAGGCTCTCATTTCTAGTTTCTTTTATAAAATTTGTTATAAAAAATAACAATTGTGATAATATACCTTTCTAGCATTAATCATTAGTTAAACTATTTCATGGAAAATATTAATATGAAGGATGGAATAAGAAAAGCCTGAAGGGTCCCTAAAGGTAAGAATATCAAAGATGGAAAGGTTTACCTTTTCTTCTGGTCTGCTATGAAGGATTGTTCAAGTCTGTTATGGCTTAGACAGGCCAGAGGAAAACCTAAGCACAGAAATCTCAGTAACTTCAGTTCTAACCTGAATATGCAGAATGGTTTTCTCAATGGAAGTTAAATGCATTTGGCTGAAACATTGCATTTTGATAAAGTTTGCACATTTTATAGATTTATTGGGTTCAAATTTAAAAGTCATGGGTTTTTTACTAAACAATTTATATTAATGATAATGAGTGACTTAGAGCTTTTGGCATTTGAACTGAGTATGATTTTTAGCCCTGATTTTTGATAAAATTAGCATTAATATTTGTATAGCAGCAAAGTACAACACTTTTTAAAGATTTTTTTGCAGATGATCTTTTTCTGTGGGGAAAAAATATATACCTGCGTAATTTTTAGAATGGATTTTTTTGCAGTTATTTGTTCTATTTTAAATATCTCATGTTTGTGACTGGCTGTCAACAGAGTGTACTGTAATAAACAGCAGTGCACAGTGCACGTCTGCGTTGTGACCTGGAGAAAGACTTTGTTCCTGTTAGCAGCTCTCAGCCCCCACTGGTAGCAGTGCTGAGGGTTCGTTCAGCACCCGACTGCCCGTGTGGCTGTGATGTACCTTGCAGTACAACTAGGAGGCTGCTGAGGAGCCGAGTTTCCAGCACTGGGAGGGAAGGTGGGGATTTGCACGTCTCCAGCCTAACCCACACAAAACCAACTTGTCCTCTCTACCATGAAATCCTAGCTCAGAAGCTCACATTATTAAGCCTGCATCACCTGTGATTCACCTTTAAAGAAAATAAAGTCATCTGTCCCCTGGCACACACCACTCTGCGTGGAAGCGTTTTTCCCATGAGCACCACTATCAGCAGAGGTGGGAACCCAGCAGCAGCCCGAGGCCCTGCTGGGCTGAGCTGCGGGACACTATTGGCTGAAGCCTACTCACCCAGCACACTCCATCCCTCTCCCGTTCCTGCCAGGGCAGCATCTGAAGGACATGCTTCATATTGGGTGTTTAAAACTGCCTGCCCAAGGGGGTCCAGATAGGCTCAGTCTGAGTTTGAGGAATAGCAAAACTCACACCAAGCAGTTGCGAGGGATTTGAGGTGGGAGGTGAGTGCTGTCCCTGAGTAGGCCCCACTCGTACAGCTTTCCTGGAGGAGGCTGCTGTTGCCAGCAGGGACATCTGCTTTATTACACACACCAGAGGAGGTTCAGCATTCCTCCCCTTCTCTTCCCTTTCACACAAACTCAGCTCAGGCAGAGGAGGTTGAATCCAAATAGGAAATGTGAATTCATTAATAATAATAATAATAAATCTGAAGGAAGAAAGTAGAACTCGAGAGAAAAGAGAGCAGCAGGCCTGCTGGCCAAGGCTGCTCCTGGCTGCCTCAGAGCCTGCAGCACCCCGGGGTAATTCAGGGCTGCTGGGTGGGCTCGCTCTCCAAGCCACCCTGCGGTGACTGCACACGACATGGGAGCCCCCGTTCCCAGCCAGGAGTCACGGAACTGACTCCTGGCTCTGACTTGAAGACAGGGAAGCAAAGTGCTTCCTATCAGGGAGTTTCCGAGGGACTGCCTCAGCCTGGTGCGAGGGCTCCGTGCTGGCGGCTGGGCACAACACATGTAGCTGCTCTGTCTCTCTGGCGAGCTCGACAGCTGCTCGTAGCTCCAGTAATTAGACTGTCATTGCTTGTTAGAGGATAGGAAAACGCTCCTATGACAGATTCCACGAGTCCTCTGTTTTTTAAGACCTCACAGAAATCACCAGAGCATTAATTGAGATCTCTTATTTCTCTGGAATCAGAAGGGAAGAAGTTCCCTCTGCTGCTTTGCACTCCAATCAGAGCCCTCTCCCACCTCCCATGGAACGCGGTTAATTCACTCTCAGAGCCTCGGGAGAAGTTGAATGCCTTTCATACCTACCCGGCAGGAAGAGAGAGCTTCCAGGCCGTGCGAACTTACTTTTAAAATCTCCTCCTCGTTTTGCTAAATTTAACTAAAAGAAGATATACAGCCTTTTCTCCACTAACTGAGAACTCCATTAACTGAGCGGAGGCTCGGACTCTTCTTCCCATCCGAGCTAATGTTAATTCGGGAGATGCTCAGAAGGGGCTATTCCCTGCCGAACAAAAGCACGGGAAGATCACGCCGAGCTGCTCCTGCTCCCACCCAGCAGATGAGACAGAAGAGGCGATTTCTTTTCCTCCCTTCCGTACATTCCCCTTTCCCCCACGATCATACAAGGTTAACTCAACAGAGGAGTCTCAATCCAAATGGCAACCGGGATTGCATTTAAAAAAAAAAAAAAAAAAAAAAAAAAAAAAAAAAACCCCCCCCCACAGGGGGGGGGGGGGGAAAAAAAAAAAAAAAAAAAAAAAAAACAGAAATAGGGAAAGAAAAGAGAAAAAGCAGCAGGCTGATTACGAGGTGTCAAAACTGCCAGGAGCAAGAAGGTGATAGCAATCAGGGGTGAGAAGAGTGCGCCATTCGTGCGGGGCAGCTAATTATCCGTCTCATTTGAGAAGAGCAGCATTCGAGGCAGCAGCGTTCGCCTGCTGAACGGTGACAGATTGGCGCGGAGGAGAGGGGAGGTGTTAAAACAATGGAGCCGGGCTTGCGAGCGCTGTTGCATGCTAATCAGCCCGGCCTCCTTCCTTCCTTCCCTCCCTCCTTCCCTCCGCCTGCCTGCCGCGATCCCTCCTTCCCACCGGCCGCATGGCAAGCCCAACACTCCCGGGCCCCTCCGCAACGCGTAGCCCCACAGCTGGCCGAGGTGGGAATCCGGAGGGATCCTAGGGGAGAGCGCACAGCGCGGCGGGCGGCACCGGGGAGGGCCAGCAGGCCCGTTGCTACCCGTGGTAGCTCGCGGAGCTCGCCCGTGGTAAGCGGAATTACCGGGCCCGCCAGCCCCAAAGGTTCCTCGGCCGGCGCTCCGCTCCCAGTGACCCCCCAGAGTACAGCCGCAGCCGCAGCGCAGAGGCAGCTCCGAGCGAGGCTGCCGGCCGGAGCCGATCCGCCGCCGCAGCCAGGCGAGGCCCGCATAATGCGAGGGAAACGCAGAGCTGTGCCAACTACTGCTGGGTTCCAGGGTTCCGCTGTCCTCGGCTCTGCACAGGGACTAGAGTCTGGAATGCTAAACAGGTCGTAAGCAAGTTGCACAGCCGCCTTTCGCCTCTCTGATTGCTTGGCCTTGCAAGCACGCACCTAGTTCGCACCCTATGATGAGCAGGTGCAGAAAGAGCTGCCCTCCTCTCCGAGCGGTCAGGCTCCCGCTCACGGGCGGTGCGACGGGGGCAGCGGAGCGGGGGGAGCCCCGCACGGGATCGCATCGGTCCCGGCTCCTGCGAAGCCCCCTCTGCCCGGGAGCCGCGGGGCTAAGCCCGAAGCCGGAGCGCTGACAGCCCGGCGGCAGCCAGCGCTGCGCTCCGCTCTGCCAGGAAGAAGCAGAGGAATGAGCGTTGGAATGTTTACTCTCCAATATTTCTCAGTTTCCATTCCATCCTGCCCTGAAAGATTTCTGATTACTATACACTTCAAAATAGTATTTATTACAGATTTACATAATCTGTATGTTTTATGTTAAGGGAATAACACATTGACGCTGTACTACTGAAAGGAGTTAATCTAAACTATGTAGTGTCTGCTTTAAGAATTCCAACTAAAACAAGTCCTTATCTCCTGGCAGCGATAGGGAACACGCAGCCAGAAGGACACTGCCCGGCGCTAGCTAAGCTCCAGGTGAAGCCACCGCTCAGCTCCCGAACCTTCCGTGGGCTGCACGACAGCACTCGGCGAAATTAAATCATGTGCGTCTGCGTGTAACCTCCCGTTTCATTTAACAAGTGTTATTCCAAACGGCACGTGGCTGTTCTATGGCAGGATTCGTGCGGGTAGGCGAACAGTAGCAGAGGAGGTTTGGGCCCGAGGTAAGCGGCACGGCAACGCAGGTTAAGTGCTATTTAAATGAGGTCTGAGCGGTAGTAAGAGCGCTCACGTTTTGTTATTCCAAGTCTGTCGTTGAGCGTTCTCGATGAATTGTCCGTGAGCATACAGATGGTGAGATTTTCATGCTTCCGTGCCATTCTGACATCCCAGGCTGTAAAAAAAAAAAAAATCCCAGATCGCTGTGATACCTACGGAGTAGAAAAATCCGGTCCACCTTAATACTCAGCTCTGAAGTGCTTTACGTTTGAGAGACTTTGTAACTCCTGATACAGAAGTTGGTGTGTACCGAGAATAGTGATTTAATGGATTTACACTACAAAGCAACATTTAAGATAACTTCTGCACCCTTTTCTCAAAGCAGATTTTTTTCCCCTGCCCCTTCTCAGTTCAGAGTTTCGGGAGATGGAGATAAAAAACATGCTTTTGTTTTTTCCTGCGATTTATAAAGACTTTTTTTTTTTTTTCATACTTTGTACATAAGGGTGAGAGAAAGACCTTCTAGTAGGTCAGGTTTACTTTTCCTGAAAAGATTCTTGGTTTGCCTATTGATAACACACGATTTTCCAAAGCGGTGACAAACAGTTGTGTCCGTTGCGATTATTTACATTGCGGACCGAAGGTATTGGAGTCGAAGACTTTTCCAAATAAAATGATGACTTCTTTTGTGCCTAACAAGCACCATTGCGGAGGCTGCGCGCCGCCCGCTCAGGCTGGAAGGCAGCGCTGGCACTGCTCGCAGGGCACCCCGCTGCGTAACGCCGGCCCGCGAGCAGCGCATCGGGCTTCGTAAGGTTTGTGAGCTGACCGCAATACAAAATACAAATAGATACATAGAGCGGGCTGATACGGTGAAAATAAGCTTAAAGAAAACCATTTTGCAGAGACGAGTATATATTTTCAAAAGGTTTTAAATATTCAGTCGGTGAAAAAATCACTGCTTGTAAAAACGTGTGTATTTTCATTATGCTTAATTTACCATTCAAAACAAGTTTTTCTTAATAAGCTCTATTGTTTCTATCTGTTTGGTGAAATGTAATACGTGTGAGACAGAAAGCAGACTCGGAATGTGAATGAGTCTCCTTTTTCTCTCTACTGCTTTTTAAATACAACTGTATTCGGATACAGAGACCCTCAAGTCAATAAAGGGATTAATAGAAGCAGCGTGGCATTCCTGAGGCCGTGATCTAAAAAGACGAAACATGGAATCTTACTTCCTAAGTCAGGTGTTTTTTGCTTTTTTTTGTTTGTTTGTTTGTTTGTTTTGTGGTTTTTTTTTTCCCTCCTTACATCTCATTTCTGTGCAATATAAAAGTCTCCATACACAAAAGCACTCTGTGGTTAATACTTATGTTATTGCTCTCAGCAGCGACAGCAAGCTTTGTCAGGTGTTCGCCGCTTGCACAGTTCATTAAAATACTTTAATAAACCACTCATTGCTTTACAAAATCACCGCACTATCACCCGAGTAAAAACATCTATATCCTCTCAAGCCAGCAGTGTCAAAAAGTATAGTCTCTCAGGGCAAGAGGTTACGAAGCCTTCATAAAGGTTTCCCATCTGTCATTAAGCGCGACATCGAGCCCTTTAGGTGCCGTGAAAATGATTTTCTTCTGAATTCTCCAGCCCAAAGATGCCATCCTCTTAATTACTAGCATTTGAGATTAGGAACGCCACTGAATTCCCTGGAGATTCACAGAAGATATGCAAAAATAATCTCTTCTCCCGCTTGCCTGCCAGGGCTTCAGTACCTGCCCACCAGCCAGTCGGCTCATTTGCTAAGTAATGATGGATGAAGCACGGCAGCTCGGACAGCTGCGCTGCCGACCTTCCTGACACTACCGATGTGCTCCACGGAAAGCTTCTTCATAATTGAT